TTCAAAAGAATAGATATCAAGAATTGGGAAACAACACTTATTGAGCTAAGAAAGGTTTCCAAAGAAATCTTTGCTCGTGCTAAAACTTACAGTAAAACAATTTTCAAGTGTGTTATTATAAGTTGTGTTGAATTAAAAAATAAAAGGGATAAATAATTAGTTTAATAACTATATCTTTTTTTGTCATAATTCTACTATTTGATCCAATACGACACCAAAATACGATCACGTTTGTAAAACAGGACCACATGAAGGTTAACTGATTAGCTCTGAAGTTCATTGAATTAGTTGTAGAAGTTCTCTTAGATTACTTTCATTTTTTTTATCTCGTTTTCGTTAAATAATTTTGTATCTATATAAAAAAAATATTTTTGCACAATGATAGATTTAAGATTCATATGAAAATGTTCTTTAATTTTTCTATCTCATTATAAAGAAAGCCTCAAAAATATTATATTCTCCATCATTTTTTTTTATATTTAATGTATCTCTCGATAACTCAAGTTTCTTGCTATAAAATTTTCGATAATTATTTCTGAAGTAATTAGAGCATGATATTTCGTTACTCAAATCTGAAATAAACTAATTTATTTTTTTAATTTCTTATATTATACAACCAAGAAAGAAAAATAAATAGGGAGGTTGTGTTTTTATTCAGTTATTATATTTAAAGTCTATGAGTTAAACCAAGAGTCAAATTTCAAATAAGCAGTCTTTGTAAATTAGTTGTAAATTAAAAAAACAGGGTAAAATTAATTCAATAAAGCTCTGAAGGTAAAAATAAATGTTCCCATCTAGAGCACAAGGTAACTATTGTCAGTCAACAGTCTGCTCCATATCATCACATGACTACTTTGAATGGAAACATTGCTAGCAGTTCACTTTCATATGACAAAAAGACAATTATTCGCGAATGGAAAACGCTGGAATAAGGAAAAACCGCGTCCATTCGTACCATTGAAAAAGGAAAAAAAAAATTATACAATGGCGTTTCATCACGATGCCAGCATTCATACAGATCTATTCTATATTCATCGAAAATATTTAAAATGTGATAATAGATTGCATAGAAATAGTTGACAATAACAAGGGATTGCTTATTAAAACGAATATATGTTAACGAAACTTTTCTCAGTAAAAAAACGTATGAAATGTAGATAAGCTCTACTGGCAATATATATGAGAGTGTCAAAGTTATGATAAATCTGCTCATGTACATAGAAATACTTATATTTAGCATAAAAATGATTACTTTATGAGTAAAATTGGTAACATACCTGAACCTAAAATATCGAATTGACCTAAATTCATCGGAGGCTAAGTTTATCTAGGTGGCCAGATAATGTTTAACTCACTTCTCGCGCTATGTCCAACCGATGGATAAATAATTATCTGGAATTACAGTCGGCAGTTTTAAATCCAATTTGTGGTTGGTAAAATACTTGTGAGTTTCCATATATTTTGCTAATATGTTTAAACTTTAACTTAACGATTAACTGAATCAGTGAGCTTGCGATATTAAATAGGTAATTTTAAAATTCTTCTGCTAAGTTTTATTAAAGTTAATTCTAATATATTGCCCAATAATTTTATTACTAAAAAGTTCATACTTTGGTGCCTGTAACATTTGAATTCTATTTTGTAGCCTACCTATCCAGTGAATCTTTAAAGATTTTATAAGTGAAAAAAAATATCTTTGTGAAATTACATTAAATTTAACACACCTTTAACAATACCAATATTACGTCTGTATACGATCAAAATCAAAATTTGATGTTATATTTAATAGTAGTTAATATAAATAGTTGTATGGTATAACCTAGGTATGAAAAAGAAATATGTTAGAAAGAATCAGGATGAAGAATGACAGGCCCTCACAAACGCGAGAATTGGTATGGAAGAGTCATAGCAAAAAAGGTCTCTGACCACGTCAGAGGGATCAGTAAAAAAAAAAAAGAATAAAGATTTTTTTAAGTCAAAAGTTTGACGAATATCTTAGTGTGTTATATTACAGTCTTTTCATGTTTTTTTTTATTAAAGTTTATATATATAATGAATTAAAGGCTATTAATATGCATATTTAAGTGGTATATGTTTGGTTAAAGATGATTTGAAGACTATGTTAAAACATAATTGATGCCCTAAAGGGCATCAATTGTGACCTACTAATCACTTCTTGATAGACAAATTTATTTGCCATCCTCTATTCACGCTCTACTTAACAATAGTTTTTAAACCTTTTATCAAATTTTCATAATAAAGACGTTATTGTAAACTGTAGAAATAACAAACGATTGTTTCACAATAACTATATTTACACAAAATTAAGAAACGGATCCGAAACTTTCAAATATATTTGATCTTGCTTTCAATTTATGCTTTACATATTGCACTCGTAATTTGTATTAAAATATTCACTTATAAAAAATTACACAATACATATACAAAAAAATCATGTAAAAATTAATATGACACAGCAGGTAAATAGAAAATTAGAATTAAAAAAAATCAATTAATATTGTATATAGCCTTAAGCTGGCCATCTTACATCACTATTTCTCATAGAATTGTTATGGTTTAATATATTCAATTCAAGACAAATTATAAGCTCAGTAACTTATATAGCAACTTCACATTCCGAAACAATATTTATTTAAGATATTATATTTAATTGTCTTATTTACCGTTCAAGTCAGTAGTGGCCTAGTGGTTAAAGGGCCCGCCTCTCGTGCACAAGGGCGCGGGTACGACCCTGGCAAATGCCAATGTGATTTTTCCGAGTCATATTATGTACTTTTTAAGAGTATTTAGACACCACTGACAGACGGTGAAGGAAAAATACCGTGAGGAAACCTGGACTTATAATTTCACAATTATAAGTTTGAAATCATCAACCCGTCTTGAGCAAGAGTGGTGATATTGAATTCCCAAAGCAGGCGGCCGGTCGTTAAAACAATTAGCCAAACTTATTTACAACATGTAAGACAGACCCTGGCCAAAGCTGGGAAATTGCCAGGTAGAAGAAGAAGATACCTTTTAATGTTTTGAAACTTTTTTAATGCGCGGAACTGTTTTCTATAATTTCAAATTAGAACTCTCATATATTTTTCTATTGTTTTTCCTATTTCCGCCGTTTGTGAGATTGTGTAACAGTTTTATTTTTAAAATAATAGACACATAAAGATAACAATTTTTAGAATTCACATGACTGATGTTATTGGTAGTATAAAATGTTGTAGCGTAAATTTACGCCATAAATGATGATATATGTAGGTTTGTTTCAGTTGTGTATTCTTTAATTTTTTAAGAGTTTTTATGCAGAAATAGTACGATTTGGCATGCAATGTGATTACGACATAGTTTAACTGATAGACTTATTTTTTCTTTTACATTACGAAGATGGCAAATGTGCAGACGGCTTGACAGAAAGCAACCATTGTCGCCCATAAACATCTGGAACATAAGTGATATTGTGGATGGACTGCCGACTTGACTATGAACAAGGAAGAGGAAAGGGTGGGAAAGTGAAAAGGGCAACCGGCTGTCTCACTCATCGAATAAAACGCAGCCAATAAAGGCTACTTCACGACGATCTTCTATTAAAGACTAATATTTCCTAGGCCGAGCCAGCCCATGTTCGCACTATAGCAACTGACCACAGCTTGGCTCTACCAGGTTGTCAAATTAATTATTCATCTTAAAACTGTAGGTATTTTACATTTAAGATGACTAACATTGAACTAATCCAAGATTGGAAAAAACAATAATAAGGCGATTTGTACTCTAAGCTAGTCCGTGGTTTACAAGTCTTCTGGAAGCAAAAACATTCGTATTAATTTTAACAAAATCGTTCTATTATTTTGTTTAGAAAACCAGAGTATAGTAAAGATAAAATTGAATTTTAAACAGAGTTTCCCTTTTTATTTATTGGTATTAGTCATCCATCTTATAATTATTATTCACAAGGGGTCGTTGGCATTGATTTCTAAAATCATTTATGTGCCAAGTGCAACGGTAATAAGGGTCATTAAAATAATTGGTCTTATCTTAATAATACGCAATTTAAGAATATTATTTGCTAATACTGGAAAGTCTACATTTAAAACATAAATAAACGAATGTTATTTTTATATCCAACAAATACTAAGACTTGAAAATTATATTTTTTTATTTACACTTTACTAATTCTTTTAACAAGATAAATATTAGTATTGTAATATTATTACTCGACCCTTCTTTTGAGTTTAATCTTGATTGGCACCGGCATGTCATCAGTAGAAATAGGATCCTTTCAGATGGTGATAGAAGGAAAATTAGTTATATGTTCTCCCTAGTACTTTTATACAAATAATATAAGTGTGTTATTTTAAGGACCTTTGCTCAGCAAACAAACCTATAAAATAAGATATATTACGTATAACTAGAAAAGTTGCTGAACCATTTCACCCAATTCTCCGTAGCATCAGAATATACCAGGAAGAAATAATTTATTTATTAAAAGTATTTTATAATATTTGTTACTGCAACCATCTCGATATTTTTTTAACTTCAACGTAATTAGTCATATAATTATATTTTATATACATAGGTTTTAATATATTTATAAACTTGGTAAATATGTGCTCTGAAAACAATTTCAATGTACACATTAATTCCACTTTCATAAATTGCAAGATCTTGCAATTTTTATGACTTAAATGTATCTTGTATACATAAATAGATTAGTAACGTATATATGTTCATATTCTTAGACTGAGTATGGGATAAAACTACAAAACATAATTTAAATAATTTCAGTTAAAGTTAGTTAGACTCCAAATGCATTATGCAGCAAACATAGAAGCCTTGAAAAAAAGGTGTTGCTTATTGCTCCTACAATATTTAATATTCTATCAGTCTTTCACCTTTATACCAGTCATTCAGACTGTTGACTTTACGCGAAGCGGACTAATATAACAAGTTAAGTGTTAAAATATAAGTGTCACATTCAGTGATTGAGCATGACAACGTGGTTGCCAACCGACGTTTTTTCTATATGCGCGGAATATCCAGCGCCGATATTATCATGTTCTCCCGCTGCATATATGTATTTGTCTCTAGTTATCAGATTATTTGGTGGAGTAAATTATAGTGTTAATTATCCCACACGGAATCCCTACTCGAGTGTTCAATATACGCATTCGTCCTCAATTAATAAAAACCCATTGAGCAGTTCTCTGTCTGAATATTATCCGGGTCCATATGTGAACCAGGCCTATTCCCAGTTAAATTACAATTCATATCCATATGATACGCATTTTGATCGCAGTTTTAATTACAATCCTTTCCAAACATTTGACTCAATTGGAGGAGAATCAAAAGTAGAAATAAAAAAGGAAAAAACCAAAGGAAGGGATGGAGGAAAATCAAGAAGGAAAAGGAATTCTAAAGAATATGATTTTATTATTGTCGGAGCTGGATCGGCGGGCTGTGTGTTGGCGAATAGATTGTCAGAAGTCAAAAAATGGAGGGTGAGAGGATTTTTTTTTTAACTTGAGACTTACATTTTATTTGGAACAGAATTTTTACATATGTATATAATGCTATATCTTAAAATTGGAAATTGATATTTATTTTCTTGATAAATATGTGTATTAATGAGATCTAAGATTTTCGCGAGTTTTATTTAGTTAAATGAAACTAATATTTTTTGTTGATCACGGTTGCTGTAAAGTAGCCGAAACATCGGGAGTATGAAGTTTTTTACAAAAATAAAGTCACGTATAATCCGAAAAATATTAGTTTCATTTAAATAAATATGTTTATTTTTATGTAATAGTATATTTTATTCGACTTCATATATTGCAGTCGACTTAAATATGCACAATAGGTCATAAAGTATATATGTACCTTTTTATGGCAAGATAACAATACCCTATTCTTATCATTGTGACCTAGTATACATTTTCCTGCGATTCCCTCCTATAAAATACTCGTAATACTATGTTGCAATGTGCCCGTGAGATTATAACCTTATTGTGCATTTTATTTTCTTGAGAATCTCTTATACGAGTACGTTTCATAACTAAACCAATATTACCTACATTATATTTGAATTGTTTAAATATTATTGAACTAAAAATAATTATATTAGTAATTAATCATACTATAATTAAACAGTGCTTTACTTCTTGGTTAATACTCCATAATTTTGTGACTAAAATTTAATTAATTAAGCCTTTCTTTTATTTACTTAAAAAAATATAGTATTGATCAAAGTAATAAATTTAATGAGGAAATTTTGTAACTATAAATAATCTCTGTCATAGATAAAGTGATAAGATAATTATATTTTTCACATAAATTAAAAGAAGGTTTTTTAAAATCAATTATATTGCAATGCTGGAAAAGGTACGATGTTAATTCATTAAAATTACGCATTATCCAATGAATCTATTGTTTCCATTCTTATAATTAATTAACCACAGGTTTCTATAGTAAATAATAATATTATTTAGACAATATACTCCCATAAACTTTATGAGATAAAGTAGTTTAGTTATGAATCAATCAGTTGTGGGAAAATTCGTTATGTAAACTAAAATCGCTGTAGTCATCTAACACGTTACCATGAAAATCTAATCTATTTCTCATTTTATGATATGTATCTGAATAAAAAAATATATGTATCAAAAGATATGGTAAATATTAATTATATAAAAATAAAATTTAAGTCTATCCAGACAATATAAAGGCGGGAATATTATACTTATATTTAAAAAAAATTATGTTCTTTTGGGGATTTGTCCAAAAACTCAGCCACTAAGACAGATATTATTAGAGATAGTTTCAAAAGAGTTACAGTATCTAAGTAAGTATAATATATGTAAGTAAAAGATACTTGAACTTAACAAAAGAAGAAGTCATTTATATGTTGATAGGAAAATTAGATCAGAAATAGAAGGCGTATTGAGAAAGAAGAATTTGCCATCAAGTATTCAGTTATGCACAAAAAAAACACTGTTACAAAATCATAAGCCATAACTGTTGCCGCTATTTGACTTGAAATACTATTGAAATGCTGCGTATATTGTTTTAATGATTTTCACTTTCACTAAAAACAAAGAAAAGTCTATCACAAGAGAATTTGCTTTAAGATTATAGAAGGAAACAACTTGCAGTTCATACTTATAAAACGCGGAACAATGATAACGCATTTTAGAATGAAAAAACTTTGACAATCTTGCGCTGGTTCACACTGAATTTTTTTTCAAATAAAATCTGGCGCTTTATAGCTTGTGTCTATAAAGTAAATATATATATTTTTTTCATATAACTTACCAATATACATTTATAAGCTAGAATTCTTGTGTTTTATGTGGCAATACATTTATATATCTTTAATTAATTATTATTTATCTAAATAGTCGACTAGATGTTATAACAGTTAAAGCTAAATTTGGTACATTGTTAAAAGAAATTCATTTAGTACTTATTTTGTGATGGACTAATAAATAAAGGTATAAATATCTCATTACAAACAAAACTATTATGCAGCAAACAATCCAACGAAACCAATAACCATGCCTTCGTTTTATAAAAAGTAATACAAAAAATAAAGCATTTACATGAAATAGTGCACTTTAAATTCTATCTTTCATATCCTCCTTACAGTATGTTAAGATAAATTTTAAATTCTATTATTTTTTACTAACTATAAAAATATATATTATAAGATTTTGATTACATATATTTTTTATATATTTATTACTTTTTCGTATAAGAAAGTGACAATAAAAACGAATAATTTCCTTATTTAAATTGGAAACCCAGGTATTCTTTCTATAATTATCTACTATTATTATCACATATTTGTGATAAAAATAAATATAACACGCCTTTCAAATATTTTGCTAACAAGTCTTCATGAAATAAAATTTATTTTATAATTATTGACATATATTTGGTTTAAATACTAGTTATGTTGATATAATTCCAGTTCTATATGAAATTTTAAAAATGAATGTTAATTCACGAACGAAAAATGTAATAGAAAATTAATGTTATAAATATATCAACTAAAATATACTATGGATATAATATATTATTAATACTATAAGGAAGGAAAAAATATGTATTGTCATTGAGTTATGATTGTTTTGCATGATACAAAAAATGGGTAATTACAGTGGATGAGATGCAGGTACGTTAGAAACCAAACACTTATTCTGGTCATGCATATATCTCCCTCATTCCATGATCTCACTTGAATGCTCGTAACGTGACAATTACAATTTGCCCGCGTGGAGTTCGGTTATATCGGGTTTCCAAGAGAACCTTTCAAAATTCTGGGACAAAAACTATTCTGTTCTTTCTCAAGGTCAACTCTATTTCTATACTAAATTTCATTAAAATCAGTTCAGTGGTTTAGGCGTGAAAGCGTAACAGACAGACAGACAGAGTAACTTTCGCATTTTTAATATTAGTAGGGATATATTTAAACAGTACGTCTTTTACTAATTGAAAACTGAATATCAAAGATTCAGAACACTTATCCGTTCCCATAGTTTTGGAATGAGTGACTCCTAGACTCTGATACAAGTTTCTACTTGGAATTTTATTGATTTCCCACAAATAGAACATTTACGACTAAGTAATAAATAGTATTGCAATCAGAACATCAATTATAACTCGTGGCAACTCAGCCGTGAAATTCGTACGAATATAAGAAAAGAATTCATATTGCAAGAGACTAAAAACTTAATTTAATGTGACTTAATTCTTACTTAAGTTGAAATAACAATAATGTAACCGAGTTGTATAGTTATACAATAGATTTAAAGAATATTCTGAAAGTAAGAAAATGTTTTAGAATAATACTTATAAAAAATGACGTAATTCTTTTTTCATTAAAATAAAAGGGAAAAATGAAATCGTACTAAATTTAAATCTCATTGAATAAGTATTTTTAGGTTCTTTTTAAACTTTTTATGCTGACTGTTAACTGAAAAATGTGATCGTAGATTGATATATTCGACAAAATAAAGGTCAAGTTTGAAAGTATATATTAAAAATTATAATTACTTCATTAATTTCTGTAACAAAAAAAAGATATCTCTCAACGAATTTCAATTAAAATCTAACTCTGAAGAAAAACTAAAAGTCACAGGTGTATTGTAACGTTTCATAATAACCTTGACTTATTTTAACTGACTGCGTTCAATAATAGCAGTTCGTGACGAATTATTGAAAGCAATTCTTTTGTAACACCTGTACGGAATTTGTGAAAAAAATATATGTATATAACTTGCGTAAAATTACATTGTAAGTCATTAATAATAATTAATTAATCAATTCTAAGTAAACGTAACTTTGTAAAAATACAACTGTTTAAAGAAAAGGTAAATATTTAGATAGATAGATAGATGTTACGTATGTTCAACATATGTATTAAAAAATAAATAAACATCGCCGGGAAAACATCGTTGTATGGATAAAATATCATATAACGAACGGAACGAACAACAAGCCGTGTGAAACAGAAGCTTCCTGATACCACACAAGCTGTTGAATTGCATTGCTATCCTAACATCGGGGCTATTATGTAGTCTTAGATGTAGGTTATAAGTTTTATAATATAATTTTTATTATAAAAGTAGGTTTCGTAGTTTTCCTGGAACCTTGGTTGTCGCCCAACATAATTAGTGTGTTTTTATTATTAAATTTAAAAAAATCCTTTAAATTACATTTTATTTTTTCAACTTCTGGGATAATATCTCCGATAATTGTAGGATTCTATGGGAAGAAGCGAACATCCAAGTTCAACATAGATATTATAAAATTTTAGAACCTATACCTGAAAATTATTAATTAAATATACATAGTTATTTTTTAGACACATAAATATATATGATTAATTTTAAATGGATTTCATATTTCCTTGAAATTTAGTTAACAATTGTAAATACATATATTATCACTTATAGCCAAAAGATAAGAAAAAATACAGAAACAGGAAATGTATAAATACCAATAAATTAAAATTGCCAGAAAAGTTTCAATTAATATTTTAATATATACTATGTGAATTTGTAAAACAGTTTATAAAAATAATGAATATCCATATCTTAAATCAGAGAGTTTTTTTCTTCGAGCTACTACATGATTTATAAATATTTATTTTCATATTTCCTTTTATACTTTCAGGTGCTCTTGTTGGAGGCCGGTCCTGAGGAACCAGATGTAACGATGGTGCCTTCATTAGCAACAATTCTAAGACAATCTTCTATTGACTGGCGGTATGAAACACAACCGGAACCCTTGACTTGTAGGTCGTATAGAGGAGGATCCTGTCCATGGACTAGGTACTTTGATTTAAATCGAAGTAGAATTAAATTTATAATCAATGTTATATCAAACTTATCAAAAAATTGTATTCCAGAGGTAAAACAATGGGTGGTTCCAGCGCGATAAACTATTTAGTTTACATGAGAGGTAACAAATATGATTATGATAACTGGGCTAATTTAGGAAACCCTGGCTGGAGTTATAGTGAGGTGATTATGGTTTTAGATTGTCACAGTATTTTTTTTTTCCTAAACTCATTAAAAATATATTTTATAGCATTTTTTGACACTTCTAATCCTATATATTTCTTTTTATTATAGTTGCTGCCTTACTTTAGAAAATCTGAAAACAACCGTGATGTTGAATCTTATGACAATTACCTTCATGGAGTAGGAGGACCTATCACTGTGGAGAGATTTCCATATCTTGACATCAATACTGCTAAATTAGTTGCAGCATTTCAAGAGAAAGGGCTTCCATTAATAGATTTGACGTCAGAAAATAACTTGGGTACAAATATAGGACTATCAACCTCCAGAGATGGGCGAAGGATGTCTATAAATGTGGCATATATCAAGCCTATACGTGATGTTAGACCAAACATTGATATAATTGTCAACGCATTTGCTACTACACTAATAATAGACCCCCAAACAAAAATGGTTCTCGGAGTTACATATATAAAAGATGGTGTAACTTATAACGTTTTTGCAAAGAAGGAAGTAATAGTAAGTGCCGGGACAATAAATTCACCAAAATTACTTATGCTTTCTGGGATAGGCCCAAAAGAGCATTTGTACAGCTTGAATATACCAGTAATATCGGATTTGGCAGTTGGCCAAAATTTACAAGATCACACAACCACTGACGGATTAATTATTGCTTTATCAAATAAGACATCTACTTTAGTAAGTAATGAAAAAGTCCTTAACGAACTACAGAATTACCACCAACAACAGCCTAAAAAAGATGGACCTTTGGCGACAACTAATACTCTTAATGCCATTGCTTTTATCAAAACTAAATATGCAGCTGTAAATGCACCAGATATACAATTTCATTTCGATGGAAGAAATGTTGAAGACTTTTACGCAGATCCTCAAACATACTTGGAAACCAGCATTTGGCCTTTGGCTTTTTACAATGGTTTATCAGCACGACCACTTCTCCTAACTCCCAAAAGTAGAGGAGTTATTTTACTAAACCAAACTGATCCTATCTTTGGCCCACCTTTAATATATCCACGCTTTTTCACAGTTAAGGAAGACTTAGATGCGTTAATCGAAGGATTACGTTTCGCTGTAAGTTTAGAAGAAACTGAAACGTTTAAAAGCATCGGTGCACATTTTGTCAGAGTTCCTATTAAGAATTGTGAAAATCATATTTGGGGTTCTTATAATTATTTTGCGTGTTTACTTATCGAGTATACTTCAACAATTTACCACCCAGTTGGTACTTGTAAGATGGGTCCCGCTTGGGACAAAGATGCTGTTGTTGACTCAAGATTACGAGTGTATGGAGTTAAACGATTAAGAGTAATTGACGCATCTATAATGCCAGAAATAGTTAGAGGGAATACAAATATCCCAACTGTTACAATAGCAGAACGTGCATCAGATATGATAAAAGAAGAATATTTGACAAAACAGTTTACAGTTTGAAAGAAAACTTTGGTATTCTTAGGAAAACTGTATAATTTTATGATACATTTATTTCAATAGAGTAAGTTAGCCTATTAGTTAGTTGTAAAATAATTTCCACTTCTTCGTAAGATTTTCTTATTATTAATATTTTTGACGTAAATATAAAAATAAAATACATTTATCAGATAAATTATTTTTCCATTTTATTTAGTAGTACCTACTATTCATGATTTTTTTCTTCTAATATAAGGCACAATGCTATTTTTAACGGCAACTTTCTTTTTAATTTCCAAAGTTCAACAAGGCTGCCTTAGTTTTTACGTGTGTGTGTGTATGTGTGTGTTTGTGTGTGCGCGCATGTTTGCAACATTCAGTTATTAATTTATTTATTATAAGGGAAATATACAGCATATCGTATATTACAACTTAATATAATAATCATATTTTAACACTTATGCCAGTTAAGTTTCTACTACTGTTTCAACAGGGAAGTATACTAATTGGATGTAATATAAAATACAACTAGTAATTAATTACTCATAAGTATTCTTCACAAGATTATAAAAATTATTTTTAAAGAGATCAATGTGGTATTATTCAATTTTATTTAAATTCATTAGTAGTTTTTAACAGATCTATGGCATAAAGTAAAAGCAAAAGAATGAGTTTGATCGGATGTAAATCCTAATATTTAAGAACCTCATTCTAATATATTTCTGATTTCTTTAATAAGCCAGTTGTATACCTCAATTTTAACGAGAATAAAATTATTTTAATTCAATGGTGAGACTGTCATACACGTACATCTTTTAATCATTGATCTCAATTAAATTAAGTATTAATAGATTTTTGTTGAGGGAATTTGTACTCAATACTTGATTATTTATCTGAATTGAATTAGGACTTAAATAATTATTTACTCGTCATCGTCGTCAGCCTATGAACGCCCACTGCTGAGCAAAGGCCTCTTTCTCACATGGAGAAGGTTTGAGCGTTAATCACCACGCTTGCTCAAGACGGGTTGGTGATTTCAAACTTATAATTGTGAAACTATAAGTCCAGGTTTCCTCACGATGTTTTCCTTCACCGTATGTCAGTGGTGTCTAAATAATCTCAGAAAGTACATATGACTCCGAAAAATCACATTGGTAACTGCCGGGTTTGAACCCGCGCCCTCGGCAACGAGAGGCGGACCCTTTAACCACTAGGCCACCACTGACTTATTTACTCACTACGAGTAATTTTTAAGGACAGTTTTCGAATGTATCATAAATATAACTGCATAAAATAAACGAGGCAATAAAAATGCCCTGAAGTGTGTACCCGCTGTAGTTTCTATCTTGCTGACTTCGACCGCGGGCACATTCAACATTTTCCACCAAAAGGCGCGTATTTCGCAAAACCACATCAACGCAGTACAGTAAAACAATAACTTTCTCATTTAGAATCGACTCAAAATTTATTAAATATATTAATTTTTTTTAAGAAATTTAGTTTAACTAACTAAATAATGAATGAATCTCTTTCTGTTTTTGTTATGCAGTTAAGGTTTTTGGTACAAAAATTTAATATGCTAATTTGGGAATAAGCGATAAGTAATTCATATATGTAATCAGATCTGAGACTTTCGCGAGTATTAATTTAAATGAAACTAATATTTTTCGAATGAACTACGTGTTTTATTACTTGAAAAACTACATACTCCCGACATTTCGGTTACTTTTCAGCAACTGTGATCACGGGCAGACGAGATGCTATTTATATTCAGAAGTTATTCATAGTAATGTTTTCATTACCTGTGATTGCCTCTGCGACTTATTATTATGCTTCTAATTTAGAAATCTTAAAGAAAAATATGTTTGAAATTATTTTAATTTTGTGAGGAATATATAGGACACAATGATTAGAAATAAGTAAAGTTAAATTATCAAAGTAGAGTTTTATATTCTTTGTTAAGATCAATTTTAATAAAAATAAAATAACAATACTTAGACAATTATCGATATTGTAAAATGTATATGTGTGTGTGGATATATTTTTCTTGTGCCAATAATCTGCAAATTATGTTGCACAGAAAACAATGACGTAACATAAAAAAAACAATTATGCATTTTGATAATGCAATAACACACTTGTAAGAACAATTCAGAATTTCGTGATTCTTTTCATTAGAATTCAATATCATATCTTAAACCATCAATTATTTATTGTAAATTTAGCATCAAAAGAGTCAATTGTTGTCTTGTCAAATGTTAATTAGTTTCTTACAAATAATTGAATAATGTTTATTTTATTAGTTAATATAACATAAATAGCAATAATATTTCCCATGTTCAAAAGAAATTCAAATTTATTACAGATTTAAGAAAATAATATCACCTAAAAAATTTAGTGAATGAAGTATTTGAGAGAAAACCAATACATAAATACTTGATATGTACTGAGAGGTGTTACTATGTTTAAGGTTAAAAGCCATTAAAAATTCCCATAGTGAACATGAAGTTATACCGTTCCAATGTATATTAAAGTCCGCTGGATAAAGGCGAGATGCAACTCAGATATGAAATTTAAATTAACCTCCAAGGTACTCTAATTTTCTACGTCTTTGTTATTCAAAATGGACCACAATTCTAAATTAAATGTAAATTATGAATTTAAAAGTTCCACAGTGTTACTTTATCTGAGAAATATTTAAAAAGAATACTTATAAAAAATATATTTTTCAGTAGAATATAACGGAAAACCAAAGATTATCTTTATAATTTTAATTTATAAAAAATTAGTTTACCATCTTTATTACTTGAAATTTTTTCAGATTGTTGACTTTTAATTGCTTTGTGTAAATCTTTCCATTTTCATTATTAGATTATTTTCCTCCATAATTTCTTGGCTATTAATGAAGCCTTAGATTTTTGCTTATACTCATTTAAACGAGACTAAACCTCTCAAATTCTAAGCCTTTTATTATTTTGTAACTACATAATCCTGAACGGTTCTTTTTAGTAAATATAGTCTTATATATATATAGTCTTTAGTGCGCGTGGTATAGGAAAAGCTTAGTATCATTTCTTTGTTATCGTTTTATAGAAATTTGTTTTAATACTAAGCAAACAATTGATTTTTTAATCTTATCTTTAAAACAAAATGGTAAATACAAATTTTTTCTTTTAGTATAAAACAAACCCAATGAGAAAATTACAAACTGTGTAACATTAACAATTGTTATTAAAATCAATTAAATTGATTTACGATATACAATCTGATAATATTTTATTAATACACTAACTTTAATTTTGTGTTTTAGTAAAACTTCTTTTAAATACTCTATTTTTAATGATGAATTAACGATTAATCTTTCATGACTAGGTTTTTATCTGACAAATCAGTATTAAATAGAAAAGTTAACCTGCAAAATTTATAATGAGCAGTACAAATTATTAAAAGATTACTATAGAATCCCTTTACTTACCAAATAATGTTTATTTTTTTACTGAATTCATTTTAATTTACGACAATTTTTTTTAATTATATGAACAAAACTACATACAATTTGATAAAACCATTCCATAAACACTTAAGTAGCTAGTAATAAATAAATTTATTATAGCACTTAATATAAAATTACTTAAATCTGTGATACTCTCATAATATATTAATTTATTCAAATTTCGTCCCAACGTTACCAAGAATCGGGAAACTCAATAAATCTGCTAAAATCGCCACCTGTCGCCTGACAGTTTTATTAAAAAACTAAAGGGAATTAATTTCTGTATTGTGAAAATTATATTGATTTTATACAAACGTTACTCAACTTTAACCTGTGGATACTGATAACTGATGTGTGGACTTCTAAGGAATCTTTTTATCCTAAATCATTAAAGAAACAGTGCTAAATGTATACAGATAAAGAATTTTTAAGGATCAAATATCGTAGTATTTATCAAGAGGAATGTTTTATATTGTAATTACATATAATAATAGCAAAATTTCAATCTATTTTTTTTACTTAACAAATACATTAAAATCTTAATGTCTATTCTAAGAATTATTGAGTATTACACGTACGTAAATGAAGATTCAAATTCAAATAATTTGGTTAATTTCATTTCCATGGCACAATTTATTGAACGTTTTAGAAATTAAGTTTCTACTACAACCAATTACCGAATATTTGGATGGCTGATGGTTTTAAAGTAATTATAATTAAATGTTTTAAAAAGTTAAGTTACTATTTAATTATCTTTGAGAACGTTTAAGAAAAATTAAAATGAGTTAGAATTGAACATAAATAATTCATGAACTCAGTCTCTTCGAAATGTCTAAATTGTAATTGGGAGAATAAAAATATATCTCTCACTAGTTTTTGCACGCGACTTCGTCCGCGTTAATTTCGTCATTAGTAGTATATGTATAGCTAACCGGGCAAACTCTATTCCGTCTTAAATAACCAGGTACCTGTTGGTATTTATTAAATTTTTCCTGTTTTAATCTAATAGAATGATTGACACATTAGTTAGTTGTCAAATCTAATGTGAAAAAAAACGTTTGTATGGGAAATAGAAAAGGACTGTTTTAGGGTTTTCCCGGATATGAATCAATTTTTTTCAGCTTTTAAACCTTCCCTGAACCTTCACGAATATTTCAAGACTAAGATAAGATAAATCCGTTTAGTCGTTCTCGAGTTTTTGCGAGACTAAGTAACAGCAATCCATTTTTATATATATGTACTCGTAGATTAGTTTGCTATTTAACATGATGAATATTTTATGAGAATAACAAAATAATATTGTTATTTAAAGTGTCATAAAATATGAAAAAAAGTATGGGAATGTTTTTTTATTCTCAAATTTAATTTCACCTGATAAAATTTAATAGTAAATTTATTAAGGAAGTTTGGTTATGAATTGATGATTAAACATTAAAATCTAGTTACGAATGCGGTAAAGATGTTGATTGCTTGAATATTCATAAAGGAGCCATTTGCAAAATTAATCCTCAAAATTATTGTTTAAACAGAC